GTAAATGTCTTTGCTATGAATATTATTATTTTATAAATATTCTTTTTATATATATATATATATTTATTTATTTATTTTAATAGTAACAATATGATTTTCTTGGTTTGTTTTAGTAAGGATTTGATAATAATCCAACACATATTATATATTATATGTTTTATGTTTTTCTTTATTTATTATATTTTTTATAAAAAAGATATTATTTCATATATATATACCAACACTTATTTGTTGTATATCCATCTATTTAAGATTTTTTTATCTAGTAAAAAGAGTTTAACCTTTAGGACTACGGGCTTATTTAAATTTGTAGATACTTGTAAAAAGACAAATATCTGAAAAGTCTAAGACACAAGTAAGTTAATCTTGATAAAGTTTTAAGAACATAATTCCTCCCTTTTTGTTTTATTGTTATAATAGTTATATATTGAAAATGGTCATACATTTATCAGCTCTTGGGTGTAGTGAATTATTTTTTTAAGTTGGGATATTAAAATAAAAAATATTTTAATCTAATTAAAATTTGTTCTATTTTTAATTAGTAATGTTTAATACTTCAATTAAAATTAAATTTTATATTAATTTATAATGGAAGACTAAAAAATAAATATAAATTTAAAATAAATAATAATAATAATATATTAAAAACTAAATATATTTTACTATTATTATAAACATTATGGTTATAATTTCGAAAATGTTGATTTTATCACCCTAGCAATAGTCTATTTTAAAAACGATAATATGATATATTTCATTTTCAATATATTATTGTTATTTTTATTAAATTTATTTTATTATTTTTAGTTTTTTTAATTAAGATAAAATTTAGTTATATATAAATTATCAAATAATAAATAATTAAAAATATAAATAATTTATTTACAACTTTTACTTAAATTAAATTATTTTCTAATTTTAGTAATTTAACATAAAAATTAATTCAATTCATTTAAATTTATTATTTTTTATTTATCAAGTTAAAAAATCACTCAAGTTAAACAAAATGTAATTTTAATATTATAATTTTAATTAATATTGACTAAATTTATTTAAAATATTTAAAAGAATATTATTTATTTAAAAGGAAAATTGAAGTACTTATTACAGGACATTGACTTTAGTTAATGTAATAAAAAGAAAGAAAAAAGAATTGTATTACATAATACAGTTTATTCGTCGTAGTATAAAATAATTAAAAAATTGAAAAAGTAGAATTTATATTTAATATGATTTCTTATCATAAAATTGTGTTATATAACAAGACAACATGATCTTTCTAGTGTAACTTAATAATATACATTGACATTATCATAAGAATGCGATAGATGTGATGTTATTTTCTTTAATTTATCCTGATTTTTTATTTATTTTAAAAAGGGTAAATTTTACTCATGCTCCTAAAATTTAATGAAATTATATTTAATATATTATTTATTTTTCGATTACTCTGACATTCTTCATCTATCTAATTGCTTAAGAAATCATGCACGACATTCTTTATATATATGTATTTGATTAAGAGATCGAGAGAAATCTATTATAATTGAACGGATATACAATATTATTTTGTGCAAGCTTAAAAGTAGGATATCACGTACAAATTTATTAAACTTTATAAAGTGTAGTTTATATATATATATAAACTGGTATGAGTTAACTTAATTTGAGTAAGGAATACTTCAAATTAAACTATGATTCCATTTCACAAAGTATGGAATAATTTAGTTAAATGGAGAATCAATGATAGGTTATGGAAGAGTTACAAAGATAATTGAAAAGAATATAAAAAAGAAAAGAAAAGAAAAAAAAGGTTCAAAGGAGTTCTATTATGATTCATTATATATAGTATAAATCTACACTCGGTTGTAAGCAAATGACTTGCTGAAGAGACGTCGAATATATACCACTTGTAATATGCTTGTTGCAGCGAACAAAACATACTCCAAGATTGTGTAGAAGACCACACGTTTTCTGGTGCTTTCATTTGCTGCAATTACAAAAATCATGCGTCAAAGACTATTTCACAATCACCAACATGAAACTTGTCGGAAACTTTGATTAGAAAACTTTATTGGGATATTTTCTCATCATGAAAAAGTTACCAACAAATCATAGCTGATTCAACTTGTAGATGGCATGTTTTGTTTTGAGATTGAAAAAATTAATAGCAATTAACGCGCGAGATTAACTTACTGTGTCGATGTCTAGTATCACGTGCTTTCAAGTACTTCTGTTCTATTATAATTGACTCAAGTGCCTCTCTCAACTCAGCAATCTTAACATTAATGGGATCCAAATGTTCTGCACCCAAAACCGAAACTGAGTGAATAAATTGATCACCAATATACATAAATCCATGCATGCTAACAATAACATTAACATATCATAGTTAATTTAGAGAGTGCTAGAAAAAAACTCCTAATCAAAGTTTCTGGTTACAACATGACATCAGAACTTATTGCAGTCGAAAAACTGGTTGGTACTGACCATCTTTGGCCAAATCATTTTCGTTTGGGATGTGACCAACGTGAATGTAGAAAGACACAATCTCTGGCGTTGAAGCAGGGTTTTGAAAGCAAAACTTATATATTCCATGTAGTGAGGCTTTGAATTGAAATTTGTCCCCTGATGTTCCCTTCAGAGAGTACACCAAATTCCCTCCAGGAGATGTCACCTACATATTGTCATACATTAAGAGAAACCATCAAAATTTGTTCGTATACTTTTTGCAAAGTGCTCAAGAGACATGATCTAATTGAAACTATGAAAAGGGAAAGCATATGGCTACTTTACACTGAAATCAATTCCTGGATGGTCTGAGCTCCAAAAAATATCATAGTCAATGACTACAAAATTCCCAGAAACAGTGTCACCATCATGTAGAACATGTTCAGATACGCATTCCACGTCATATAAACTGATCGAGAGAGCAAAGCCTCGACAAATTATGAAACCAACGAAAGAGATAACAATAGTGTAAATCTTTGAAAACCAACCCATTTTTGTCTATTCTTTGAGTTTGATTCACTTAATTGATTTTCTGGCCTAGAACAAACCAGATTTCTCTTGGAAAGATGCCATGAATTATGCATCGAGTAGGTTTTTTTTATGCCTTTAATTTTGGTTATGTAGTTTAACAAGTCATTTCTTCTATCTAGAGAGTCGCGTTTACTCAACTATATATATCTATATAACAAATGAACTTTATGAAAGTAAGGTTAACCACTCATTTAAATCACTATAAACGTTTGTTAAAATTAAGATAAAGTTTGATCTTGTTACCATATGCCTTAACACCATATATCACATACAAATTTTTGTGATACTTAATTTTATTAGCTTAATAAAAGTATATTAAATAAAGTTAAACGTGTGGAGAGGATAAACAATAGACAAATAAAAAATGTAATATCTTAAAATCAAACAACCAACAAATTCATGCCTTTTAATAGTATAAACTTATTTTTTTGTATTAAATAATATTTTATAATTAAAATTGTGTTGTTGTTTTTTTCTTTCCCTTTGTGTACTTCAGTATATGAAACTAGATACTATTATTGACGAAGTAAATTCTATTCTGTATCTCTGGAATAAATTCAGTAAATAAGAGTATATACTTCTGTATCAATTTGGACAACAATATTTTTATTTTATTGCTAAAATAGTCGTATATGCTCAAATTAAAAGCTTGTTTTAGAAACTGAAACAAGTTGTAATTAATATTTTTTAGTTAAAATAAGAAAATTAAAAGTTTTATGTGATTGATTCATTAAAATTCAGTCATAGTTATTTTTAATTAGTAAAAATGATAAAATTTACTTTGAAGTTTTAATCTTCTCCGGTAAAATTAGTTATTTCTTTTAATGTAGGCCTATTAATTACTTTGACTTTTAAAATCGAAAAATAACGTCTGAAAAATATTGTTTACGTTCATTATATGTCTAAAAAAAAAGTATACTATCATTTAATTAGAAATTACTCTAAATCTAACTTCCAAAATAATTATTACAACGGTCTACGAGACTACGAGATTACCAGCGTAATAATCTATAATTCAATGATAAAATAAATTTTTTTATGTATAATGGGATTTATTTAATAAATATTTTGTTCACGCCATATGAAAATAAATTACACACCTTCATCGTAATGATGAATTACATTAAAAATAGCGTTTTTCATAGTTTTTATAAGAAGTGCACAAAATAATGTTGCTACGACTAATGGTGTTGAAAAATGTATCATTTAACGTTGTTATTACCGTTGCATCATGATAAAAAAAATTGGATCTATGATTTCTTAATGATTATTGTAAAGAAAACTTAGTATAAGTTATTTTTCCATTTTAAGATAAATTTCTTATGAACTTTTTAAAATTTTCAATATCTATTATCTCTTATTTCTTCTTTCGGTGTTTTCGTCTTCTATCCTTTTCTATTTCCTTGGACAACTTTGCTGGGTGGATCACGTTGTGCAAACCCAGAATTTGCTACTCTTTTTCGTCTGATAAGTTTTATGATTTGGGCTTTTTGTTTTGGTCCATATCACTTGTTCAAAAGCTAGGCTGTTTCTTCCTGTACCTCTTCATCGTCCCATAATTAAAATAAATTTTATTTTACCCTTCATCAAAATATGTTTACATTTTTAGAATTAAGCTTTTCTGAAAATACATTCCAGATGTTTTAAGAAGAGTCAATCCAAAAATTATAGATTGAAGCTTCTGGAAATACATTCTAGTTCAAGAATATATTTTTATAAGAATCAAATTGAACATACCTTTCAGAATAGCAAATCCGGAATGAATGTCTAGAAGAGTCAATTCGAAAATACATTCAATAATTGAATGATTTTCGGATTGACACTGACCAAAATGAACTTGCAGGAACAATGGAGGTGCAAAAGAGATATGGAGCCGCAGTGGAAAAGAAAAAACTTTTAGGTTTCAAATAAAAATTAATAAAAGGGTATTTCAATTATTTTACATGAGTTATGTGGTTATGGATGCAGCAAGAAATTATGGCAGGAAGAAGGAGCCGATTTTAGCAATTGCCCAATTGAATTGCTCTCTGGGCCCAATCATGCACCGTTGCCATTCACGTTCATGGAATTCATGACAAACAGTGATTATGATGGGAGAATTCAACTTCAATTGTAAACTATGAGAACGATAAGATGGTTAGTGTTTTTATCACCAGAATTTTGTTGTATATCAATTTGTTAGTAAGGTATAGCTTGCAGTCACAAACAAGGTAAGGTATATGTCTTCATCTTGAGGTATGCTTCCCTTCTTACATGTTTTTTTTTATGACTAGTTTACGTTTTAACCAGAATTCTGGATAATGCCTTTAGTAATGTGAGTGGTGATTTGTAACTTTCTTTTTTCCCTTTCTTCTGTGAAAATGTTTCCACGTTGGTTTTCCAGTTCTTATTATCTAAAATACCTGGGAAAGGAAATGGGAGAGCAGAATCTGATGGGTATTGATTGTCCTTTACTCCACCAGTTTTCAGTTTGCGAGAGGTTTATCAATTTAGGACAAGATCACTGTATGTCTGCAATTGCATAAATTTGGATGGGGAAAACTAGGGTCCGTAATGTATATTTGATGCGAACAATTTTCTCTTATTGTCTCGTTACAAAGCACTGTACTTATCATCTTTTGGTTAGTGCCTCTCTAGCTGTTCTTGATAGTCTGCTCACTAGATCACTGTGATGACAGTTATAGTCACATGTTGAGAGAGATGGATTTGAAAGAGAAAAGAGATGGGAAGGTGTTGCTTGGATTAGATCTGCTGCAGCTCAATTGATTCATGACTAGTTTCTTTGGTTCAAGACTGTGTTAGCAAAGGCAGTCATGATCAACAATTGTTATCAGCTTCTCAATAAATGATTTTGAACTTGGAGTGAATGGTAAAAGAGGATAAGTTATGACATCTGACTTGGAACATGACCCAGATGCTGAACCTTTCGATGTATATTTATATGTTTCTTGCAATGGTGTTGAGTTTATGCTCATCTTCGAGTTTTACAATCTGTCTTCTGAATGCACTTCTTGGCTCTGAACTGTAGTTTAGGTGTTTTTGTTGAGAAATCTAATGTAACAAATGTAAGTTAAAGTCCAAGAACGAGGAAATTGAACAATGTATAACAAAAAATATCGATGACCTCGAAAGATCTATCAGTTTTCGTAACCATTAAACAAATATTATATGATAAACAAGATGGTATTATTAGTGGAATATTTTTCGTTTGTTTGAAAAATGATTGATATTTACTAAACTTATCTACCTTGTATAATACTAAGCAAGTGAAATGATTGCAATGGATTTTCGTTATTTGTCTTCCGAGATCAAGAACCAGGGAATCTAATAGGTTTAAACATGCGTGTCGGGCAAGTTCCTCTGCCATATAATGTTTACTGGGGTGAAAAGAAGTGAATTGCAGTGGTTGATTACTATCTATTTTTTGTCCTCTCTAGAGCTCCTTTTGTTTTCATCCGAATGCCAGTCTGAAAATTATGTTTTGTGATAAATTCTTTTGAATATGTATTCCTGGTGAAAATTTAATCGATTTCGATTAAAGGTTCTGATCAAATTTTGATCACGTAAATTCTTTTCACTTAAGCTAGCGACAATTTTCAATCAAAACGTGTATGAGAATCGAAAATCCCATAGTATCAAGAAACGCTAATAACGCAACCTAGTGTGCTGATTGACAATCGAAAGTACTATTTTTGATATTTTGTATTAAGAAACTCGAAGTAAAGACAACAATAAAGAAGAAAATATCGAATCGAAGAAATAGTGCAGAATATCAAATTGCAGAAAAAATATAAAAATGCAGAAACCTCAAATTGCATTAAATGTAAATGGCAAGAAGTTGAAATTGCAGAAATGTAAATAACAAGAAATCGAAATTGCAAAAACAGTAAATGCAGGAAAATTTAAGTGCAGAATCTTATATTGCGTTGAAGGTAAATGACAAAAAAATTAAAGTACATGAACTTAAATTGATAAATGTAAATAAGTTACCAGGGAAAGTAAAGAAAGCGGTAAAAACAGTCAATGAGAATGAAAATCCATATCGCCAGAAACTTCATGATTCGTCGTTCTCCGGTAGACATTTCACTTGTGCTTCTATTGTCTCTGCCAATTTCCCTTTCTTCTTCAAACTTCGTTCTATTTATAGGCATCCTTCAATGTAACCTCCCAAGAGCAGTTAAAAAACTGTCCCCATGTTCCATGTGCACGTTCCTCGATTTTTACCTTAGCTTACGGTGTAAAAAACCGCTTCCACGTTCCATGTGCATTTTAACCGTTCCTCGATCTCGATTCCAGTTATCAAGTACGATTTCCCTTAACCTTGACTTTACACTATACTTTATCATTACTTTCATCGATTTGTCTCTCTCTTTTCTGATTCTCGATTTCCATTCTCGATTTATATGTTCATACTATCTCGTGGTCACCGGGTGTCTTCCAACCATCTTTCCGATTTATCAACTTTTTAACCAATCATATGATCTTCGATTTTCTCTCTTCTGTTTTTCGATCCTTGTATCAATTTTTTCACTAACAAAATGCCCCCTTGAAAGAATATAAATATTTGTATCAATTTTATATTCTTTCAAAAATAACTCCTGCCCTTAAACGTTCTTGAAGCTTGAAATAACTTTTTAGGGTTTAGGGTTTCTGGGGTTTTTTAGGGTTTTTAGGGTTTTTTCTGCTTTATGTCAAATATCAAATCACATCACCTCTACTGTCACAATGCGCACGCCACGTATTAATTACCCTCTTCACATTCGTCGTTTCAAATACCCTAGTCGGCCTCTTAAAATACTCTTATCAGTTTTTTACCCTTGTTTTTTACCAAGAACCTAACCCACTCTTTCTTCGTCGCACATTTTCTTCGTCTTCAACCTTTCCACAAACTGCAATGACGACTTCCAAATCTTCCGACTTCTCCACCCCACCACTTTCCTTGGTCACTTCGACTCTAATAGAGATAAATGGAAAAAAGTTTGTTCCAGTTCCTTTGATTGAAGAAGCTTCGTAGAAGATTGCCGAGACTCAGGTACTTATCCCTTACGTCGTTGATAATATAGATTATGCGTTTGGTGGTCCGATCCGCTACTATGGTAGATCGTTTTCTTCTTCCCTCAGCCTTCCCCCAGAAAGTAAAACCCTTATTCACAAATCTGAGGTCCGAATTGATTTCCTAAATGTTGTTTCTAAAGTATATCGAACAGAACCTCCCCACAAAAAGCCTTTGTACATTAGATGGTTCTATCGAGTAAAGACCAAATTTGGGAATCACTGGAGAGATGTAGGGATCTTCGATTTTCTACATCTATCTCGATGTGATTTATCGTTCTTGGATATGTCCATGTTTCTATCCGCAGTCCATCTGTGGAATAAAGACTTACATGCAATGGAGCTTCCCTGCTGTCCCCTTTCTCCCACTCTTTTTGAAGTTGCTGCACTCACCGGACTAAAGCCCACAGGGGAGAAATATTTTAAGAGTGCTTTCCCCTCAGATGACTCTCTAAGATCAAAAATCGATTGGGAATCGAAAGCTTATGGACATTTCATCGAGAAACATTTTGTTGATGATCAATCGATAGTTGTTTCTGATGAGGAGCATGTGACTTTTCTGGTATATTGGCTCTGTACCCACGTTTTTTGCCCTCGATCCATCCAAATCTCGTCCCATTTCTACAATCTTGTCTATCTCCTCCATACTGGCCAACCCAGAGTTTGTTTGACAAAACTTTTATTGGCCCATGTTTATACTACTTTCGATGAGACCGTCGACATTTTGAATAGCCCAAGACCCTCAGGGAATTTCTCGGGTCCCATCTGGTTCGTTCAATTATGGCTTACTTCGATCTTTGAAAGCATCCTTCCCCCAACATCCAAAATTTCCCCAAGTTTAAATCTAGAAGGCGCACGATTATCATTTCGTCATCCTCACCACAAATCTTCTAATGAGGCTAGTTATCGAACTTACCTGAAATTTTTGTTGACCCGATTTCATTTTGAGTCAAGTTTGGCCCCTTTTACCGTATATCATGGGAAAGTTAGTGATAGACTTCGAGGGCCAACCTGGTTTAAATCAAAATTCTCCGCTCTTACTCCAGGGTTACAATCGGAATTAGTAGATGTGTGGAGTAATTACTTGACCCAGGATGTTCTTGTATCGGGTTTTCAATCGAAGGATATCCATCTTGTCATCTATTATCCCCAACTTTTTTCGCGGCAGTTTGGTTTAAGTCAAGCTTTACCTTTTTTCGCTCTCGATACTTCCCCAAGGTCCAAATTAAATGAATCGAATATTGGACGGGAACTTGCCAAACTGTTACCACAAAACCCGATGTATTTGTATCCTTATGCTTTTGAATCGAATTATTTGTCTACTCTTGGTTTTTCTCAATGGTGGAACGATTGGTTTTCACACATTCATTCTAATTTTGATATCGTCCAATCGAAATTTACTGCGCATCCTTCTCTGATGTTGCAGGATAAATCGAAGGCAAAGAAAGGTACATACTCTCATTATCTCCAAATATCTCAATTCAAAAAAATTTATCGAGAATGCTACAACCCCCTTAAATTAGAAGAGACCTTTTACAATGTTGTTATCTCCCTAGTTAATAAAACAGACACCAACCGATCAAACCACAAAATAATCAATCCTCGAGGAAAAACTCCGTTTGAAATGTATTGTCCCAACCATCTTCCCACTTTCCCTACAACCTCCTTTGGAATCGCCAAACCTTTAACTCATCCTAAATGGGTTCGAGAGTTGAGATCCTTGAAAGAAACTATTTCACCCAAACCCAAGAACAAGAAAATTTCGATATCGAAACTGTCCTACTTCCCTTACCTAAACCTTCCTCAAAATCTTCTTCCTCCCTGGCTTGTCCATATCGATCGAGTCAAGATTTTAACTCCATCACCTTTTGGTGAGATTTTACTACCTCTTTTAGGAATATTTTTAATTTTCTTCAAATTATAATCTAACTGTTTTCCTTTCTCGATAGTTTTGAAGCCTTATAAAGTCACCATCTCCGAGAAAGACTGGGAGTCTTCGGATGAATCGGATCCATCTGCCCCCACTCAAAAACGAAAACATTCTGCCACAATTTCCTCATCTTCGAGAAAATCGAAAGTTTCTTTTCGATTCCCTATCATCTTATTTATTCGACTTCTTTTCTATAGCCGATTCACTTCTCATTCAGAAACAAAAATCAAGAAAGAGTCCTTGAGCCACTCGACCTGTCATAAATCCGTTATCGACGGACTCTAATACGGTCAGCAAAGCAGGTCAAACGACACAAACCACTTATTCGAGTCACATAAGAAATCTCCCTTCTTTTCCTATATATTTTGTATATCTAGAATTCGACAAGGCCTATAACACGATTCCAAATTTCGATATTTTTAGGACCATCCATCAACTACGGTATCGACAAATGTCAATTCTTTACTTCAATCAACAGTACCCATTTTTGAGGTACAATTTAAAAAATTTTATTTTTTCTCGACTCGTTTCACATATTTCCCTTCTCTAACCTATGTTTTGATCTACAACAACCCGAGGCTGTACAAAATCCTTCTCCCGCACCAACGCACCTCGACCCACCTTCCCCTGGTAATAATTTCTTTCTTTGCTGCCCAATTTTATTTATTTCTATTAAGATTTTTCGATTCATTTCCTCGAATTCATTTTCTTTCCAGATAATGTTGTAAATATCCCCACAGTCCAAGTTCAAGATTCCCCTCCGCCATTTTTTGCAGAGCAACCAGCTTCCCCACCTTTTGAGGTTCCATCTGTCGAGTTGATTTCATCGACACTGCCTGAAATAAGCGATCCTACCCCAGAGGATTTGCCAGAATATCGAACTGCTATTGAAGAAGATCATTTCTCAATTCTCGATATTCTATTATCTGAGGATGCCACTCCTTCAAGCACTCATCCAAACCACCTACGACATCGAATGAAGAAGCGCACCAACTGATACAACGATTTAGGTCCTTCTTCTATTCGTCGCCTCTTGAAGTATTGGTGGAATCGCGCGAAAAAAACAATTTTTCCAAGAAATTCTTACTTCGATAGAAGCATTCCCTGATGACGCTCTTTCGAAGAGTTTCGACACTGAAGTCGCAGCGGCCACCGATTTATTTAACAGAGCTTATGCTGCAAGGAAGAAAAAATAATCCATAGCGATCGAGTTAGCTAGAATTTCTTCCTTCCAAACTGAAAAATCGAACTTGCTAAAAACTCAAAAGCTCAATCTTGAAGAGGCGTTGAAGGCACAATCTTCGGTTAGAGGTGAGATCGAAGAATTGGAGAAAAGACTTCAGCAACTTAGATCACAAGATGAGTTCCTCACAACAGAAGTAAATTCAATCAAATCCTCTGCAAAAGAAGTGAC